AATGGTGACAAAGGAGTAAATAGACAGTAATGGCTTTTAGAACGGAAGCCACAAATTCTACGTAGGACCCTTAGAAAACCCCCATAATAGGACCTAATAAAAAATACACTGAATGTAAACAAGTAATGAAAGGTCCGAGTTTCTCAGTAGCTACGAACAAGTGGCTTTTTTGAAGATGAATTGAATATTTTCTGTTATCTTAATTAATTTGTGTAATAATCTTAAATAATGTTCTGAGGTCTGAGGCTTACGTATTAAAGTCCCATAATCAAATTATTCCATTCCTATAGTATGAAATCTGTAATAAACTACAAATACTGAGAAATACCAAGATTACTGCTGCATTGAATGCAACAAAAGACGTACATATAAGTAATATTAAACTATTTTTCATCGGAACAGATGCAGTTGATAAATAAAACAGCTGCGATTATGCTCTGTTCGGCACTCGCCATGCTGGAGAGAATGTTTTGATTTATTTATGCGCCTCATAAATAGAGAGAGAAGTTTTCCTTTGAACTTTGTAGCGAACACGACTGGTACATGAGATTTACAGGATGTTTGTAAGAAATTCTAATCAATTTATTAGGAAAGGGTACGAATTACAACAATTTAAAAAAAAGATGACTACAGCAGTGAATTAATTTTAGTTTGTTTTTTAAAACTTCAAAAGTTTTACTTCACGAAATCACCAGTTCCAGGAAAGTTGGAATATTAAGTATTAGGGAATGATGAAATATTTAAATTGCGTAAATTTGTTTTTTCAAACAAACCAACGTTTCGGGCCCTTTGCGGTTCCATGGTCACGGTTGCATTAAGGGTCGTATTCCAGAACTCTACTCAATGCTCAAGTCAGGACTTGAGTATTGCAGTGAGCACTGAAAATCATACTCAAGTCCTTGCTATCAGGGTCGTATTTCCACTGTTTGAAATCATACTCAAATCTGCTCAAATCCTGACTTGAGCATCGAGTACAGTTCTAGAATACGACCCTAAGACTTATTGACTATCAACTTACTAGTTTTTGAATAGCTTGATTTTGCTTTTGTTTGTACAGTGTAGCTGTTTTATCGCAGCACTATGGACGCTCTTGAATCTATTTTTATCATCAATAATGTTATTAAATATGCAATTGTGTCATTATCACAATCTCACCGAACGGTGAGAAAAGATCGCACTCTCTCGTAAAAGTTGTATATTATGAAATCGAATCACATTTTGACAACTTCAGTGGCCCAATGGATTCAACTGTGAGCACTCATGGGATTCTCGGTGGGACCAATTTGGGAAATTGACTTTTCTAAATTGGTCCCGGAAGTCTACCACGAAATATGATGTTACTGCGTCCGCAACGAAGCTCATACGTACTGCATATGTCAGTTTTACGATTAAAGTAATGTCAAATGTCAATACGAAAGCTGTCATTTGCCAAATCGGAGTACGAACTTATGTGAAATCAAGATCTTCGTAAGTGTTTCATTGGAGGTCTCCGGTCGGATACGAAGCTAGAACGAGAATCGTTGCTTCGTATTTCGTGGTAGACCTCCTGGTCTGGATATTTTCAGTTGTGCCCTGTTGTCTGTCGCCGTTAGTTGAAAGGGCACATGTGACAATGTTTCAAAAATTTCGTTATATATTCTGTTGTGATCAGTAAAAAACGGCCGATCTGTCATTGTTTTTATTTTTACCTAGGTGATTAAGGTATGAAGTTATTAGAAGAGAAAAGTAGATTTTTTTTTTTTCATTTCTTTAAACAATTTCTTGGTTTTGAGTTTTTGTCACAAGCGCCTTTCAACTAACGGCGGCAGTAGCGAACTTCGTTGTTCTGGTAGTCATGGTATAGGAAATTCCCTACTTTGAGACCAAGTGACTACGAGTGATTGTCTGGCACATAATTATTATTATTTTAAGTATAATTAAGTTTTAAGTTATTTACGAAATTTATTCAAATGCTTTCCAGCGTGTTCTAACCAGTTAATCTTTCCGTATCGATCACAGTTACTGGTATAGCAAGACTATCTTATATGGAATGATATGAAGTTAATCACAAAATACTTTATGAAATTCTACAGTGACCTTGTGGCTAATTATCTAAATGAACACGAATAATGTTAGAAATACGGCATTTGGGGTGGAATGACACTTAATTTATAATATTGAATTATCGTCACATATTTAAATCTGTTTACTAATTCTATTTAAATCAGTTAACTAATTTTAGTCATATAAAGGTTAATTTACATAATTAAAATTCGGTTAATTTCTATTTAGTCGATGTTTTCAGTCTGTTTAAGTTTTTTTTAATGAATGTTTGCGGTCAATTTACATGTCAGCTTTGTTTTTGGGTTGCTACAATATTTTGTCGAAATTTCCTATTTTACACTTATCTTTTATAGCCGTTTTCAGTGAAAATTTTGTACTACCTACATAAAAGTTTGTAATATTTTATAGTTAATTAATTAAAAACGTCACCACAATTCAATTAGTTTCGATTTACAACTCAAAGAGTGCAATATCCTACTTTTGGTGCATTGGTTCATTGTTTTTCCCGAAAATTGGGTTATTTTAGTTGTGTTTGGCACACTGATCTCGGCATTTGTTCGATTTTGAATGAAATGGCTCTTTTACTTCTAGGCGCCTGTGCACTTGAAGAAATTCAAGTGCACAGGCGTCAATTCATTTTTTTTCCAAATCTTGGTGAGTTTTGTGTTCAGTGTAAACTGTAACCGTTATTTGGTGTGCCAGACTAGAGAAAATTCTAAGGCGTAGGAAATTCACAGATTTTTGTAAGTTTTTGCTGTGACTTATGTTCACCGCCGCCGCGTGGTACTTCCCCAAGTTCACCGGCTTCCCTTCAGGTTGCAGTTTGAATTCCTTGGCCTCCTTGTCGTAAAGTCAGGTATGTAATTTCATTCCTAAAGTGGTTATTCCCTGCCAAACCGTTGAGTTCTGATTCAGTGGTATTTCCCTACAAATCGAATCCAGCATGGTCATGTTCATATTATGTTCTTCAAATCTGTTCAAAGTTTTATTTCCATTTAAACATCCTAGTATTTTATTGCATCTACAAGTTTTTTGTCAAGTAAAAGAAAGACATCCAATGTAATTTAATTCCTTTATTTTGCAAAAATCCCGTATAACAATAGTACAATATAACTTCAATAATAGGGTGCTCTGCTTCTTTGTTTTGGTTATTATGAGTCTGTAATTCTTGAATTCAACAATCACACGGAGGTTTTTTGTGCTTGGGGTACAAAGCGGCCTCAATATTATTCGGATCACCCTGAGAGGGATCTGAAGAGACATCACCGTTGGGTCAGCTGTTAGCTTGAAGCTTTTTTGGCGTGTTATTGCGAGGCTTAGACTACTCTGTGCAGATAAGCTTTATTACCTGATTTCCTTTACCTTTTTAACTTAAACTCACACTCATACTTTGGCCAAACTGACACCGTACCACATTGTAATATCGCTGTACTGCTGATTACTACCTTATAATAACGGAATGGCAGCCATACAACATATAATTTTTAATATTATATAATTTTAATATAATATATTATAGTAATGTATGTAATTCACCCCGAGTAATCTACGCGCTCTGTCCGACTCGCGCTATATACTTTAACTTTTGACTTTTGTATTCACTGGAATTAAAAGATTGTAACCCACGATATGTTACATTTCAAGGGAATAGGGGGGTTTAAATTCACAAAGTTACATTATGTAATAAATATTATTAGGGGATATTACCTTTAAAAAGTCTTTTTAGATCTTTTATCTCACCTATGCACAACATAGCATTTGACTTTCGAGTCTGACTGCTCTGTACAATAAACTAATACGACAGTCGCATCGCATTCTTTGTTTTGTTTTTGTCATTTGTGCGGGAATGATATAAAGTGCCATTTAAATTGTTTTTTGAATATGTACCTTTAATCTTTATTTATCTATTTATTTATTTATGTGATGTACATAATAAAGCTTTTAAACTTAAAGAAGTTATGTTGAATCTTCATTGTATGTAATTTCGATGATGTATCCATATAAGCGCGTCTATACGACGACGCTATAAATATATCAGTGAACTATGTTTTGATGTGAGAAAATACGAAGGAAATGCAATACGTGCCCAACAAATTACCTGAGAACTTGTTTATAGTGGTATAGCGAGCAGGCACGAAAGAGCTATGTGAAAAATGATTGAAGCTCATTGCAACCCCCGTCGCGTTGAAAAAACCCCGTCGTGAAAGATTGTATTCCTATTTTTGAAGGATAGAAACGAATTTCAATTGAATCTCGAATATCTTCAAAAGTTGGTCGTCCATTCGTAACATTAAATTGATTTGATGTCTGCACAAGCCGCACAAATAAATTCTCTGGCGTTGTTCTTTCTTACCGAGAGTTTCGTGATTAAAGAGACTTGGACCCAATTACGACAAAAATTCGCTCTCAAAAATTTAACACATTAAAGAGGGGAGTTTCAGAAAAAGACTACTTCATAGTTTCTTGCAGTTTATTTGCATAACAAAACATCTAGCGCTACGCCAAATGATGTTACAATTAAATTCAATATGTCTACTTAATTACAGTGTGCTATTGCAATTATATTACCAGCCGTTTGTAAATGAAATGGGATTAACAAAAATGTTTATTAAAAATCATGTACACTAATGCGAGAACTACTAAATTATTCATAAATTATCTCAGACTTACCATACTAATATTTTGTCATTAAAATGTGCCTACCATTCGTAAAAAAGTATAATAATATGATTACGTATCTAGTTACCATATTTCATTACAATCATAGCAATTAAACTGTACATTTTTTTATCACTACAAAACTAATTACAATGTGGTATAAACTGCGATAACACAACGAATTATTCAACGCATCCGTGAAATGGAATAAAATCCATACCTCAAATACATAAAGAATATACCTAAGTACAGAACTGATTTATAGCAGGGGTTATACGCATATGACATTATTTTAATCGTCATTTATGTTTAACCAACTAACTACCACCCTGTTGGTCCCTTTAATTATACAAAAAAATAGAACCATTTTTCTATCTATGCTTTAATACTACCAATAAAGACCATCTACCTTACGGCTGTAACCGCTATTACAACATTTCTTCTACTCTTAGTGCTATTTAACTTTATTGTACTATAACTGAATTTATGTTTCTCTTGGAAATTATTTATAAAATCTGCATTGGTCATTTTCTGGTTTGCATGGTGTTTCAATTCGATCCAGCGATCGCTTCTCCAATCGTATCTTTTACCCATTACTTCTAACAAACGTTCAAAAGTAGGCCAAGTCCATTTTGTTCCAAATTTATCTTCTGTTTGTATTCTATGTGATTCTATTCCGTTCTCTGAAAGTTCACTAGACGAGTCGCAATTTTCCGTAGATGATGTGACTGGGACTGTATTTATATGCGATCCAATATCAGAACTACGTGTTTCGGTAAAATCTAATACCTTATCATGCTTATGCTCTGTTTGATAATATTTCTCAAAGGCTGCTCTTAGTACAACTGGTTGCGATTGAGAAGACTGAGTTTCAGCCGTGGTATTAATTTCATTTGTCTTAGCATTCTTTGGAGATTTTGTTACATCGCCGTCAGTGTTGGAGGCTTCTTGAACATAATTTCTGTAAATTTTATCTATTTTTGAATAATTATTCTTCAAAGGTATAGCGATTTTGTTTTCAGTTCTTTCAGTAGACTGAAGAGTCTCTAATTTACTATCGAAATTTGGTAATTTATGTAGTCTGATATTATTAGATTCCTTTAAGTTATATCCTTTCCTGTACTTTGTTATACTTCTAGTTTCAGTTGTATGAGTGCCTTGATCTCTTGGGTCCTCTTCAATATCAGATGGCTTGTGCGAGTGTTTTGCATCGTATTTATGTTTTTTTGAATTATATCCATCCACATGTACCTTTCCCATTCGTGTATTTGTAGTATACCTAGTATTGTCTAATTTATCTTCAGAATTTGATGTATGGAAAGGTTTGTCATCGTAATTATGTGTATTTTTATGATATTTATTTGAAGACTTATATGTAGTTTCATCAGTAGACATAGCATTTTTGTTTAAATTTAAGTCACTGTCTGCGATTTTTTTATTATTTGTACGATGTTTATCTGGAAATTCAGATGTAGTTTTATGAAATATGTGGAAAATAAAGTCATCATCGCCATATGTTTTTTTGTTTGCGTGATATTTTTTCGGGGATGCAGATGTAGTATTAGATCCAATATTTTTATTAAAGTTGTCACCCTCGTGTTTGTTTCCATTATATTTATTCAAGAACTCAGCTGTGGATTCAGTAGTTTTAGCATTTTTACGAAAGTTTAAGTCATTGTTCTCGAATCTTTTATTATTTGCATTATATTTATTTGATGACTTACCGTTTTTTTTAAAGTAAAAGTCATAATCTTCAGACCTTTGTGTGTGTGTATGATATTTATTTGGAATCTCAGATATAGTTGTATCAGTAATCTTAATATTTTTATGAAAGTTAAAATCACCGTCTTGAAATATTTTACTGTTCGCGTTATATATATTTCGGAACTCTGATGTACTTTTTTCAGTAGTCCTTGATTTTTTATGGAAACTGAAGTTAATATCTTCATGATTTGGTTTGTTTCCATGATAATTATTGAAAAATTCTGACTTAGTTTTACCAGTAGTATTAGAGTATTTATAAAAGTCATAGTCATCATCTTCGATTGTTCTACTGTTTGCTCGATATTTACTTTGTAACTCATATACAGTGTTATCAGTAGTTTTAATATTTTTATTAAAGTTAAAATCATCGCCTACAATTATTTTACTGTTAGCATAGTACTTATTTGGGAACTCAGGTGTAGGTTTTTCAGTAGTCTTAGAATTTTTATGATAACCAAAAAAATCACCTTCATATTTATCTTTATGTGGATAATATTTATTTGGGAGCTCAGCTGCACTTTTAGTCCTAACATTTTTATGCAAATTTAAATCATCGTCTACATATTTTTTATTGGTTGCATGATAATTATATGCTGATTCAGTGGTTGTCTTCATTTCTGTAGTCTTTGAATACTTACTGTTTTCTAAATCATATTCAGAATCGGATGATGTGTGTAGATACTGCTTGCCGCGATTCTGTATTTTTACATGATATTTATTTAGTAACTCGGTTGTAGCCTTTCTAATCTTAGTGTTTTTTTGAAGGTTAAAGTCGTTATTAGAATCAGGTTGTTCCCCTGAGCGGTTTTTCTGTTTATCGTAAATTGTGTCATTAAAATTAAAACGAAACCGCTCTCTTAATGCTTTTTTCGTAGATTTAGATCGACGTTTGGTACTTTTATTCCATTGCTCAGTAGCTTCAGGCCGACGTTCAGTAGTAAGCCAATCATGAAAGGATTTATGGGAATAGTGACGTGTTTTTGGAGAATGTTCCCTCTTTGTCGCTTTGGGGTATTCTTCATAAAAGTCGTCTATGTGGTGGTCGACCATTTCTGTAAGATAATTCAATATATGAGTATCTTAGGCACATTTTTGTTTCGCTGTGCAGGGACACTTTGCATCAAACAAAAGTTTTGTAACAGCCATAGTGAAGTATTTGAAAATAGTTTTCGAAATACCAATAAAATATAGTCTTCTCCCTTTCGCTTTGGTATATAATCAATCGATGTTGATCTAGGGCTTAAAAAATAATTATTTTACTAAGTGTAAAATGTACAGAATGGAAATTTGTAGAGAGCTATAGATAATAGACTCAAGGGGCTAATAAATAATTACTTTCTGCAAAATTTCACTAAATATACCAATATGTACTGTATGCGCGTACCTCCGTTACAAATTATTATAACTGTAACATACACTACTTTGTATATAATCTGTATAAATGATACTATGACCTAAACCAATATGCATGTATATCCACCTATCTTATTACTCAATAATATTTTCATGTTTGGCCTATCAAAAACATACATACTCACCTGCAATATCTTTGAGTAAATCTATTTCACGGACAATGTCATCAATCCGCTCTTTTTTCCTCATGAATTCTTCACCTAAGAAAAGAAGAAGGGTGGATTTAATTATAGATAAAATAAAGCTAGAATAGTATATTGTTGATGATAATTATTGTTTCTTTTATTAGTGCTGACATGAACGATTAGTGTAAACTTTATAAATCAAACAAACCCGTCTTAATATCAGGAATTTGCCTTATTGTAAAACTTTGAGGAGCTTGGTAGGCAGATTGAGGTCTCTATTAAGTAAACAACTAAGCTACTTTGCTAGTTACATAATTATGTGGTAATGTAGTTCTCGTAAAATTGAGATTGTATTGACCCTTTTTATCTAAATTCTGCATCGCGGTGTTAAGAATATCCTCGAATGGTGATTACTTCATGCTAATTTTGATTATGATTGTGAAAGGAACATCGGTACTATCGATTTATTTCTAGAAGCTGAGTTCTTGTGAAAACGTTTACCTGAACCTATGAGATGTTACTGCTAACCTGACACCTTTTAAATAAAACTTGAGACCAACGGACTTTACTCAACGGCTTTTACTCCAATTATTGACGTCAACCAAACGTAGTTATAACCCTTCTATAACAGTGCTTTGATTTGCTGAATCGGACAAAAGTACATGACAATGCGTTTTAATTAATACATTAAATAAGAATAGAAACTTTTCCCTTTAAACTGAGATTTTATTAGATCCAAGTGACCAGTGATATGAGAAAAAAACATATAATAAACAAATTGTATATAAATATATTTAAGTCAGGCTGGTGGACTGATAAATGTAGGTTAAAATCGATACGCGATAAGTGCCAATGGGGTTGACCACCCAGCAGCGTCAAAAAATATGATTTGATGATTAAGAGAGTGTGCAGGATCGTTAGGTTTGGACCGAAAATATAAAGTAAAGAAAAAAATTTCAAAATACAAAACGAACACTTCACCTCTATATCTGTTTGCTGTCTCTTCAGCTCTTTTCTTCCTCATACCGTCACCTTGATCTAAAAAAAAAAGTTTTGAGGATTGATTCTGTAGAAAGATATTAACGAAATAATAACTAACTTTTGTACGTAACGTAAGTATAAACAATATCAGCCGTGGTAGCCTAATGGTTTGACCTAGCGCCTCTCAGGCAGAAGGTCGTGGGTTCGAATCCCGGCTTGCACCTCTGAATTTTTTGGAATTTGTGTGCGAAATTCAATTAGAAATTTACCATGGGCTTTTCGGTGAATGAAAACATCGGGAAAAACCTGCACACATCTGCAAAGCAACTTCAATGATATGTATGAAATTCCCAATTCGCATTTAACCCGCTTGGGAACTACAGGCTCAGTCCTCTCATTCTGAGAGCAGGCCTGTGCCCAAGAGTGGGACTATATATACATATAATCTATCTAATATTTACACTATAACGAGGCTTTTGTACTTTTTATACTCGACTGAGAGCTTGTGGTACATTATAAACAACTTTCGTGGTCGTAACTTTGCTGTATGAAGGTGATGAAGTCTATTTAAACTACACAGGAGACGGCAATTGCAATAATTGCACAATTCAGAATGCATGAATCATACAATATTTCCAAAATTATTGTAGGTACATTATTATTATTTCATTTATGGTTGCATTAGGCTTGTGCCAGTGTCAGTTTTATAAGGATGTTATAAAAATAATGGCGAGGATCGCCTAAAGTATACCAGTTGCAAATATTATGTCTTATTGTACGTGGTTACAGGCAAAGGATGACAGCGTGAATCTGAGTACAGCAATATGGAGTTCGATAGCTTTTCTTCCATTTTTTGTCCTAGCCACATGTGATCTGCTCATAATTGATAATTTGAATTTAAATTGTGAAACAGATTTCATTCTCATTTCTCAAATTATGTTAGCGATGAGCAGCTGCTACTCGCTTGATTGAATTAAATTTAATATCCATTAAATTTACACGGTATATATGTATATGTAGTATATATGTAAGTGCTTGTAATGAAAGCGTCTACGTATTCATAATAATATATTGAGTTTGTAGATAGTGAACGTTCAATCTACGTAATCTACGTACTGTTACGTCCGTCTCCCACTCGAGTGGGCAGATACTACAGACGAATAAAAAGGTATTGCCTTTATTGCTCCTGTTTCAGTGAAATGATGACGATACACTGTGAGTACCATAGTAATTAATTTTACTTTTGGTGAACTTAGAATTACCAGAAAAACAAATATAGTAAAGTTTGATTTCTAAATTGGTTCAACTCGAAATCGAACAAGGACTTTCATATCTTGCACCAAAAAGGTAGCAGCACCATGAGCATCATATATTACAAAACCTTATAATGACATTGGTTTGAAAATCCTTATTATTTAATTACAATCGAGCCCACAACGACATTTATTTATCTCTTTGTTTTAAATTACACCATATATCAATAAAAAATAATAATAATAATAATAATAACGCACATACTCAACGTAGCCCCGCACTAGGAAAACCCTGTGTCGCGGGTACCATGAACACACACATAGACAACAACAAATTACACCCAAACTCACTAGAGAAATAAATGTAGGCCATACAAATATTTCTCCCAGGCCGGGAATCGAAGAATTTAACAATATTTAATTCTGAGAAAGAGCAGGTTAACTGAAATATCTCTCATAGAATACCAAATCAAAATAAAGTCAAAATGATATAATTAGAACTCATTTGGAAGGCGACAGATATTAAAATATTCATAATGCAATGCATTTTTCAATGTTCTTCCTTAGCTGACTTGGAGCAAATCTCATTACAGCTTCCGACAATTTTAAATTGATGTCTGAGAACATACTTTTTTATTCTCATTAGAAGTTTTTTACGATCTCAGGCATAAAAATCCGAAATTCATCTTTGAAAAGGTTTACTGTTTCGTCATCTGCAAATTTTATTCACATTATTTTATAAACGGTTTATAAAAAGTCATGAAGAAATGGTACAGCATTTAGGCATTTACGATTGTTATTGATCATTCTACAATCAGAGAAAAATACAATACACGTGAAACTCTTTTACAAAGTGGTTTACATCGTATGATGACTTGTTTAAAAGGATTGTCCCATGGTGCACGACGAGCTCATTACACATTTTACATGTTGATGTTTATTATTGTTATCAACCTATACGTCCCACTGCTGGGCACGAGTCTCTTCTCAGACGTGGGTTGTGAACCTACTTCGACGTGAAGATTTCATCACGATGTTTACGTTCTTTGAAAACTTCATGATAAGTTTCAAATTAAATTTCGCACCTAAATTCCGAGAAATTCAGAGGTGTGAGCCCGGATTCGAACCCACGGCCTCTGCTTAAGAGGCGGTAGGTCAAACCATTAGACGGCCACGGCTATTCTGAAATGTGTGGATTCTGATTTGTGTTTCCTTTGGTTAATATTTCCAAAATTGTTGAAAAAGTTATGTCTTAATTAGCATAAAGTTAGACTACATAAAAATTTTACGAGTTTTTGAAACTGACTAAACCATGGTCCTATATATATATTTTAATATACATCTTTTAAGTGACATTGTAGCAGTTACTACAGATACATCTTGGTGCGAACATAATAATGATTAAATAGTATAAGATAACGTAAAGATGCATGTAACAAATCATTATAAATAGTTTCTCAATTATAATAGAGTCACATCTTTCTATCAACGACTCATTCATTTTTACCTTACACCACTACTATGGTACAGATATTCAAAACAGGACCACACTTCGTCTGTACGGAAAGTACTCGCAGGACTGTCCTCTTAAACAAAATTTGTTGTACAACTTTTGTGAACTCTCATGAAGTTTGATTACTTAGTATGTACATCTTTGTTATTAATTGGAAACTTGTGAAAAATACTTACCAACACAAATAGTAAGCACAATAAGGCAGCATGTGTAATGCAAAAAAATCTTGGCCATCTCTTGTTCAATCTGAAGCAAATCACAGACATTGTTAATTACAATGTTAAAAAAACAAATTAGTAACTAGAATAAACAGTTGTTATATATTAATGCACGTGAATAATTATTCTACAGTCCCGTGCATTTTTACATATATTTTTATATATATTACATATATTTTTATATAAAGCGAAATTAAATAAAAAGTATTAATTGAAATCTTAATACACAAGGCAAAATTTATATACTCCATAAAGAGAATTGTGTAATGGAAAAAAATATGAAAAATCTGAACCGATGTGTTCCAAGACTTTTTGTTTTTAATTTAGTTCAATGCACATTATATATTTTATACGAATTAATACAACACAGAAGCAAATGCTTAAATTTATAAAGCTAAAAGAATGGAATTGTTTCCTTTGTTCTTCGAACTACTTTTGTTTAAGTAGTCTTAATGACTAAAATTAGCGTTAATTTCGTTTCTCGTTTAAGTATGAAAATAAATATTGAATATATTAGATATTAATTATGTAATAGTGTAAGAAGAGACGTAACATTTTCAAATCATTAAAACGATGGATTGCTCTCTTTAACCTTTACATTAGGGCTAGTACGACAGGGCGTGTCTTGAGCGAGAGCGACATAAAGCGCGAGATACGGCTATTTTTATATACAAATCTCGGGCTTTATATCGCTCTCGCGCAAGTCGTCGTCCAAGCTGGTGGTCGAAAAGGCTCGAGCCTTTTAGCCCTAAATTTAAAGTTTGCGAGTCTTTTTTAAAGGCGGACTCACAAAAGAGTTCGAAAAGGCTCGAGCCTTTTAGAACTAAATTTAAAGCTTGCGAGCCATTTTTAAAGGCGGACTCACAAATCAGTAGTTCTAAAATTGCTCACTATAAAAGGGTTTGAGGCTTTTTTAGGCCGAGGCTTTTTTCAAAGCCTTTTTAGAAGACTGGCGTTAGCGGTCAAAAAGGCTCGAGCTTTTTAGCCTTTTTTTAAGACTCACCGCTTTATAGTGATGGCTACAATATTAATAATAATAAATGGATAATAATAAATATGTCACTACATATGCACACAACGCTATCTAGTCCCCAAGTAAGCAAACTAAAGCTTGTGTTATGGATACTAGACAACCGATAAACGAACATTTACATTTATAGACACAGAACAAATTATCATGTTCATTACACAAACATTTGTCCTCGGTGGGAATCGAACCCACGACCTCTGGATTAGCAGTCAGGATTACTAACCACTACGCCACGACGCCACTATTCTAAAAAGGCTTTAAAAAAGCCTAGGCCTAAAAAAAGCCTCAAGCCCTTTTTTAGTGAGCCATTTTAGAACTAATGTTTTGTGAGTCCGCCTTTAAAAAAGACTCGCAAGCTTTAAATTTAGGGCTACAAGGCTTGAGCCTTTTTGACGGCTAGCAAAAGCCATAAATACAATTAGCCTCGAGGGCTTGAGAGTTATTTAGCTTTTTAGCCTTCTAGCCATCGCTATAAAGCGGCGAGTCTTAAAAAAGGGCTAAAAGGCTCGAGCCTTTTCGACCACTGGTCCAAGCCCAACTGATTCCTGCCTTATTTTCCGTCTTTTATCTATCTTGTTTTCTTCTGTATAAACATACATACAGTGATTAAAAAATGTATCCTTGTCTGCTAAGGATGTACAAGAACTTTCATAATCCATGGTACATAAATAGAACTAATAATAATAAAGCTATAAAATCTGTTACAATACGCCTACAATACGATTTCAAAATCCCTATAACAATTATAAATCAAAAACTTGGGTGTTTTTAACATTCTATAGAATTGGGAAATAAAGGGCACTAAACCCATTATTTTCCAACGCGGATCGGAGACGTTCAGTGCTTCCGCCACAAATAGTTTTTAATTTTACTAATATTATTATTGGTTACTGAAACATAGTACTTTTGCGGTACGCTTTATCAGTTATTGGATCTTTCTGGATGAACCTGCCGCTCAATAGACGCCGTATTGCCTGGAACTAAACTTTAGGCAAGTTACAAATAAAGTTCATCTGTATTAATTAAATTCTAATGAATATTTACAATGTTCCAATTAGACTAGCTGCCATGGCCACGGCATATTTAACCCTTTCTGTTTAATCGGACTTTGTAAAAGGAAAAAGAAATTATTTTCGTTTTTTTAAAAAATTTACATACAAATTTATTCCGGTTTTCTCCTTATATCCGGGAGAACAGTTAAAATTAGATTTTGAAATTGTTCCAAGAATGAGACGGTGAAAGTAAAAGTGTGGTGACTTTTTAATTTGTTCCAGTTTTTTATAAAACGTTTTTATAATAATATGATTTTTCTTGGTTTTAATAAAAGCTCTCGTTTTCCCTTTATGTTTCCGACGTATTGCCAGTTGCTACTGTACTTGACAGGATTATTAAATACTTTTTCAATTAGAATAATGGAAGTTGAGGCACCTAAATTAAATTATGTAAACCGAAACGTTCATGTTTGAAGATATTGGAGAAACAAAAATCAAAACTACTCCCAGCAAATGTTTGCTTGCTGGTATGAATTTAAAGCAATATAATTCTGATAGAGACGTTAAATTTTTTTTACTTTAAATTTACTTTGTTTTGCCAAATAAATGAATAATATAAACAAGCAACGTCTGAATGAAAAGACAAAATTTTTAAAATCGCAAGGAAAACGTCTAAAAAGCAATGGAACCAAATTTATTAATCATTATTAAAGATAATAGTCATCCATTTATTTCATTGTCTGTAATGTAACGTATATAAAAGTCATATATCGACTATACATATTTAGTTGATCGATATAGTCATTATAGTGTTAGTTTTAGTTGATCAAGTGAATAAAGTATTTAACTGACTGCAAAAAGGAGGAGGTTCTCAATTCGAGTTTGTTTTTTGTGTATGTTACGCGATTACTCTGGTATTTGTGAACCGTTTTTGATGATTCTTTTTTTTGTTGGAATGAGGGTACCTCCGTATTGGTCCCATTTAAATTTGAAGATATTCCACCTCAATGGGTGGCAAACTAGGGTATGAATCCGGTTTCGCGCATTTTCCGGTAACTGATTTCAATAAAACTTGGCAAATAGATTTAATTGCACGTACTTTTGTGATCAGTTTTTTTAAAAAAGTTATAATTATTCATAAATAATTATATCTAAGAAATTCTCAAGAACTATGAAGCCTATATGTTTTTAAATACGCCTGTAAAAGAAATGCTCTGGGTGGGATATCGTTATTTCCTATGTGTTTCAGAAGTTAAAACTGTTAAAAACCAAGCATATGAAATGGCGGGAATTAGCTAGTTACCCACATAAAAGTGTATATAGTAGGTATAGGTGTTGTAAATGGATATGAAAAGCCCCTTTTTACTTAGCAAACCTTTCTTCGATTACAGAAGTTAGAAAGCTGGTATGAAAATTACAAACTAGAGTAGTAATTTCATAAAAAAAATAATTAAATAAACAGCCTTGAATTGTAAAATTTCCTTTGTTTCCCTTTAATTGTGTTTGCTATCACAAATTGCAATCAAAAGGCGCGTCCAAAACAAAAGACAAACTCGGAATTTTGATATTTCTTCCATAATTAAAATAAGTCCCTGGATTGACATGCTTTAATGCTATTGTTAATGATTTGGTAACACTTAAAGGTTACCAAATAAACATAAGTAAATAAACTTAGTAATATTTTTTTGCACAAACAGCTTGGTCATATTTGCAAAATCGCAGGAGTTAGTTCCATGTAGAATCAGATCAGATTTCGTGAGAAAATATTCAAAGGACTTTTGAACCAATAAAATATTTTTTTTTAATGTACAATAAACATTTCAACCTAAAAACCAACACCACTTTCACACTAAAACAAATATACCTATACTACTCAAAGTTATAAAGTAACCTGAACCCATTAAAAATGCTACGAATACTTGCTACGTGAGCTACAAGCGTAGCATTTTACGTAGTCGTTTATATAACACTTGTGTCGGCATTATTCACTATACTTTTCGTTAATGCCTTGTGGGGATTTGTGTTACCATTCGCTTTCTCACTTTACAGGAAAATGTGGAAAAAGTGTTTTTATTCGTATTCTAATTAATAATTACTCCGCTGCTGTTTTCGATGAACAAACTTAAAAATATTACACACCGATAAATACGTGTTTACAACAGATACATGAAACGAATTTTCTTGCAATCATTGCTGTACTGACTTAGTCTTGCTAATTAGTGGTATGTATAACATGTTTCTAGTACATTAAAAAGCACTTATACCGACCTTTGTCAGCACATCCAACTTCGAAATGATTAAAATTTATTGATTTTAAATTCACTTAAACTGAACTTAAGGTTTTGGTCGTAAACTTTATTTACGAAATAAACAAACTATCGAACGCACGTGCAGACTGGCTCACCGTCTGTGGCAGACTGGCTCTATGAGGTACTTTGCAGACTACATTTCCCTTGCTACCCTTTCCACGATACAAGTACTATTTACAAGAGTTTCGTTTTGTTTTAAGACCATTGCTGTTTTAGTGACTCAATCCATTTTGCGTTGTGTAGTTGGTACACAATGTAACAAGAAACAGTGTTGCAGTAGTATTATCTTTTGTGTTTCTAATAAAGGCACGCTCCAGCTTTTCACACCACCCCGCAATACTTCCTATACTTTAACCCGAATTGCGTGTCGGCAACGTGGCCTTTTCAGTCAGGTGCACCGGCCTTCTGCTTGGCCCCATAGATACACCGCATTCAACTATTGCAGAATTAATTAACTTGAAACTCATTTGAAGTAGGCCTTAATTAAAATTTTGCTTAGAGCAGCCGTATTTCAATTTTATTGTAAGCTGTTCATACACACTATTAATTTGTAATGAAAAATCCTTCATTATAATTGTACGTCTTTTTATTTGCACGTTGTCGTAAATACTTGTTGTTCTAAAAGGTTTTGTTACAAATTTAAAGTCATATTACGACATTTGATTTGCAATTTAACGAATAATATGCAAACAAATATTAATGAAAAATAAAAAGCGGCAAATAATCCGTTAGGTACTCAAAAAGGTTAAAACATTACCCAATATGGATCCCACAGTATTGTTTTCCAAAAATTTTACGTTAAGCTCTAAATCGTTATTTACATCAGCGATTGTTCATTTATTACCGACCACAAGCGAACGCAATCATGGGACCGGTTGTCCTTTACAAAAATGTCCATTACGGCTACCCTCCTCAAATGGTATCTAAGCCCAGGGCTTTGTCTCCAGCGATATTTTTTTTCGAACCTCTTTTTAAAGGCGTCGACTGTGGTTTGTGCCTTTTTGTAAAACCTCACACGGAAAGCGGGAAGATTTGTATACTCAGACCCTTTGTTGTAAAAAGGAATCTGTTTTTGTCACTTGCTCCTTTACCATAATATGTAACAGGATTAATTATCTTGTATTTGTCACTTGTGCTTATTAGCTTTTCAACCAAAACCAATTTTGACACTCGTTGAGATACGTTTTCATGTTGTCTTATATCTATAATTAGACTACCAGTGATATAATTCACAATTTCTCTTTGAGAGTAAACTTTATCCAACGAACATCATTCAGCCTAAGGGTTTTTTCTTCCCCTCTGTTGGGTGTTATCTAAGCCCACCCGCGACAGCCACTCTTTTCAAGCTACGTGAATTATCGATTCTAAAATTCGGCTCGAGTGCCTTTGAATACGAAGGTTGTTATTTACGCAAATGTAAGATTTTTAGTATGCCGTCTTAAAATTCAAAACTGTGGTATTGCAGAAATAAGTTGTCTCTCGGTTTTAATGTCAAAATAAGATAAATAATATTACAAATATATATTACGTACAATTACTATAATCACCTAATTTTAAACCACTATTAAGTAAAATCAATTACACTAGATACTCCTGTATTTATAATGTGGAAGATAATGATCCCTAGTACAAGTAATCACAAAGAAATAAATGATTTGATTTGATTTGAAGTATATATTTACTGAAAAGGAGGTAATTATAAGACTTGATCCAATCATTCATTACTCTTTGCGGGATGAGCTTAAAATTTATTGCTTATTTTTGATGAACGTGGTATATTGCACCCAAAAGAATAGTAGATGACAGTTACAAATGGCACTAAATAAATTTACCCTTCCAATAATAAAAGTAACTGTATAGTTTTGAAAAATTGGTGAACGATGTGGTTTCTAAGTACATTACTCCAATATTAAAAAATGTTTGAAGTTTTTAAATACCATTATATTCTAACCCTCCAAACTGTTCGAACGATTACCATGCTAGCCTGCCGCACATAGGTCTGGGATTCGATTCTCGGGCCGGGAGAAATATTTGTATGCCCTACACTTATTTCTTATGTGAGTTTATTTTTTGGCACCCGCGATACAGGACAACCCTAGTGTGGTTATAATATGGGTGTTTTTTTTTAAATTTAAGTTGTAATGTTCCAGAGATAATGAGTAGTAGTCAGAGTCACTGAATACATTCTCAAGAATACGTGAGTCTTATTGTTTTTTTAATAACATATATATTGTCGGGACGGACAAGTCGTCCGCCTATTGATAATCTACACGCCATTTTTATTATGTTATTTATCCCGACTGGATATAATACAATTTTTATTAAAATGTCACCTATTCCCAGCCTAAATAAAAGCATTTGATTATTAAATCTATTTTTGTACACAGTAAGGAATACGACTTCCCTAAACTCTATTGGCAATTTGAATATATTTTAAAATAAGACTAATTATAACAAAAAGTAATATCTTAAAAAAATTTTTCTTCTATATCGTAAATTGCTGCCACTTGTATTTCATTTACACCATCTTTCAAAGTTTTGTATTATGATGGAATTCGATGGTCTTTATTTTAGTCAGTGTAACTTTATGACGTACCACAGACACCATATTGAATTTTCCATAACAATTTAATGTGACAATGCGTCGTGCCTGCGAGGCAGCAGATGGACACTCATAACATAAATACGCTGCTAAAATCATTACACTCATTTGACTACCCGTAGTCGGATAAAAAGGGACGAAAAGACATACTTTTTTTAATAATATGAAGTGACGGGACGAACAAGTCGTGCGCGTGATGGTAAGGTACACGCCTGTCCTAAACAGTTGCAGTGTCACTCTGAGCTTTAAATCGCCTTAGGGGCACTACCATTGCGCCCGTCACCTTGAGACATAAGTTGACAAGTCCCATGTGCCTGTAATTTCACCAGCACTCTTACCGCTTTTTCTCTTACCTTACTCTTCAAAACCGGAACACAGTAATGCTAACATTACTGCTTGGCGGCAGAAATAGGTAAGGTGGTTTACTTCCCTGGACGAACTCTTTCACAAGGAGCTCTACTGCTTACAAAACGATATACCAAACAATGAAAACTATTCGGGTGCGCCTCATTTATGTGAAAATCAAATAAACTAGTTTTAATAGGTTTA